CCCCAAAACCCCAAAACCCCAAAACCCCAAAACCCCAAAACCCCGCTAATCTTCAAGACCTTGAAAATTCACTTATAAAAGATATCTGAGTTTTACTATTAAAGATGTCACTCCCTTCAAGATTTGTCTTGAAGGTGTTAAGTACCCAGAAAATGCCAGCAAGAATCAGTACAGAGATGTGCTGATTCAAGCAGACCCAAGAGGCATGGTCATCAAATGCACAGATTACAAGGGATGTGTTAGGACTAAAACAATGATCAGAAATAGCTTCTTCCATAACAAAGAGTATAATGTATCTCTCCCAAAGAGAAAGGAAAATGAGAAGCCAGCAGTAGAGTTCTGTATCCCTCCTGATGTCCTCCTAGGAATAATTGGCTCTATTACAACAGACGACATCCTTCTTGAGTTTAGTTATCCTGTAAAAGACTGCTTAATGCAGTTGTTACTTAAAGAAGAACATTTCTGTGGCGACACCAATCAGAAAATAAAGGGTTCCACAACAGTAGATTTCGAAACTTATATCCCAGACGAAGGGATGAAGCAAGATTTTAGCATTACCAATGAGAATTGTGTAGCTAACATTTATGCATGCATAAACATTTTCAAGAAAGCACTTAAAGAACTTTCGTTCCTTGACGAGACAACACCAGTAACACTAAAGTTTAGTGTGGAATACCCTCATTTCCAGATTGCCTACAACCATAATGCTTTGGAGGATAACTACTTCGTCATAAAGTTTGCAGCAGATCCAGGAGATGTCAGATATCAGATCAAGTCAAACATTTCTGCTAATTACACAATTGGCAGTCTTCGGTTGGCCTTTTCGAGATACTCGAAAGAAGATCTCTCTTGTGCCTTGCTCATCAGCAATGAAGGCTTCCTCTGTATCAAGATAGTGCAGGAAAATCGTGATGTATATATCGAAACCATTGTTTCCAATATTGATGAAGGTGCCGAACTTGAAATGAGCCAATAATTCTCTTAGTTTTCAATAAATTTAATCAAAGATGTTTCAATATTTCTTATTTTTATTGGGGTTTTGGGGTTTTGGGGTTTTGGGGTTTTGGGGTTTTGGGG